GATGCTGAGACATTTCCCATCCCATATCGACTTGGATCTGAAGGCAGGTCCAGGGTACGGCTGGGGGACAAGTCCTTCCCTCACACCCATTCCCAGGGCCCTCCTCACCTTCCCCAGCTAAGAGCCCTTTCAATGCCACTCTCCAGAGGTACATGGATACCACGAGGGCTGTGGATCTGGATTCGGTACCCACGCTGGTGGCCCCAGGCATTGGTCTGGTTGGTAGCCAGGTAAAGGTATCGAGGAAGGGAGCTCCCCAGGGGAAATGCAGCCTGGTCCTCCCTGCTCAGGACCTGCCTGGTCAGCTGTAGGCGCTGTAGCTGATGCTCCGGGCTCCAGGGGGCTGCTACAGGCTCAAACACCGAATCTTCAGCTACCACCCAGTTTTTCAAGCCTGTCAGGATGAGGAAAGGGAGAATTCTACACTGGGGTGAGGTTGCTCAGACAGAATCCTTGGTCTCCTCTTGATGCCTATATTACTATCTGACCACAGGCATCAGAGAACGCTATGCTCGGAGTCATAAGCTTGGGCAAGGGCTAACCCACCATTTCAATCGGATAATTGTTGGTCACATGTGGCTACATATACTGAAAGTCCAGTTCGTCAGTCACACTAGCTGCTTGAGCATCGCTAAGCGGGGTGACACATACCTGAAATCCAGTACCTGGAAGGCAGAGGCAGGGGACGGCTGCCAGGTCAAGTCTGGACTGATCTACAAAGAGTTCCAATATAATCAGGGTTACACAGTGTGACCCTGTCTCAAAACTGAAAGGGAGAGAAAGAAAAGGAAGGAAGGAAGGAAGGAAGGAAGGAAGGAAGGAAGGAAGGAAAAAGGGGGGTATGTCCAAAGCCAGTCTACTAAATAGCGAGACCCAGTCTTAAACCACGTGGCAGTCACATATGGCTGGAGACTCTTAGGGTAGCCACAACACAGGAGACTCTCTTGGTATGGGCCTACCCAGTAGACCCTACAACAGTTTGCTCCTCACTCTCACCTTCTGAATCTCAATGGCTAACACAATACTGTTTTATGGCTATGCTCAACACATGGAAAAACACACACGCTGACTGAAACATTCCTGTGACTATGAAAGAGACTTGAAGTGACACGGAAAAGCCAGTCCTCTTCCACAGTCCCTGCAGATTCCTCCCAGCTCCAGGACTCCACTCTCCTAACACAAGGGGACACTACTGCCAGTCTTTCGAAAGTGAGCTTTGGAGCGTCTTCGATCCTACTGCATGCACCAAACCCTGCATCACCCAGCACAGCACTTTTTCCTTGAGGCTCAGGACATTTGGTTCCCTTAAATGTGACCATGATACACACCGTAAAAGCCAAAGATGTTGAGTATTTTCCAATTGTCAGATTGTAAGTATTTCAGATTATAATATATGGCCATCATGTTAGTCTCGGTTCTCTTACCCCCTACCACCTCCTCACACCCAAAAACCACAAACGCAAGCATAGTGTGCAAGGTACACATGCCAGGGCCTCACACTCGAGAATGTTTCACAAGATATATGTTTGGTCAGACATTACACTTGGGCAGCCACTTCCTTCCTGTTCCATCTCCCCTGCCTTCCTTAGTTTCCCCAAGTGTAAAATGAAGGTCTTGGTGGAGTTGACTTCTTTCTGGGTCCATGTGCTTTGATGAGTTTGTTTTCTCTCCTCCACAGAGTCTGCCAGGAGCAGCAAGCGCCAGACTGGCAGCCAGCCTATCCCAGACTTGCCACAACAGAGGACTGTTAATAGTGATGACAAGAGAGGGTGGCCTTCCCACACTGTTAAGTGGCACTAACTGCAGAGCTATCCCCAACCCTGACACCTTTCCTCCCCATGTACAGACCACAGCATCCCTAGCCCTACTGCAAACTCTTCAACCAGACTTTTGGTTACCTCTGCTCAGGTCCTTGTCCCATCCACCCACCCTGAGCTCAAGGGGCCAAGTACTGCCTCTAGTCCCATCCAGTTCTCACTGGGTCAATCCCTCTGGTTAAGGCAGCAGGGCGCAGCCATTACATTTAAGTTAGTTTCACAACTGCAGATCTGGGGGAGGGAACCAGAAGGTGGGAGCTGGGCAGATGAACCCTTTCATCCTTGACCAGATGCCCAAGTGTGACTACAGCGGCACTCAGACAATCCTCTTCCTCTGGAGGTTAGACTGTCCTCACCACCTTTCAGACTGCAGCCCGGTCTGGAAGCTTCCAGCCCTATGCGCTACTCCCAACGCTCAAGCCTCAGCCCCAGAACTCACCTGCCACGTCCAGGTCCAGCTTGAAGTGGAAAGCGTGTGTGTGCACTGCTCCCAGCACTCGCTCTCCCACGCGGTTCCCGAAAAGGAGGCTCTCAGCCCCTCCATTCAGGAAGACTGTGTTGATATAGCCTGTGGCATGGACACGCCCTTCAAGCGCCCCATTTGGGTACAGTATAAAGTCCCAAATGTAATCGTAGTTGCCCACTGATGACACCGACCTGACCACAAGGCCTGAGCTGGCCAAACCACCGTAGAAATGACCCCCTATATAGTTGTGGTGCCTTCGAAGGGGTAATCCTTGGGCCTCCTCAAATACACACACAGCCCCTGGGAGCAGCCGGACTGCCCCTGTGCCTACTAATACATGGATGTCAATCATTGTGGCCTGGTAAGGGCAGTCCACCCCCCGAACCAAGGCTCGGCTGTTTTGGCCAAGCCCAAAGCTGCTGTCCAAGTAACGGAGCATCATTGTCTTGGGGGAATCAGCACCGTAAACAGTCAGGCACTCCTGGACACTGACTTCATAAGCCACACGCTCACCCTTAAACCGCACATCAAAAAGTCTTAAGCCAGTGAACGCACCATGACCAAATGTAAACATCCAGAGGGGGGACACCACTAAGTTTCCCTGCACATTGTACTGGGGACTCTGGGGTGAGAACTGAAGAGGGGGAAGAGGGGGGTCTGGAGTAACTCGAGACCTCAGGGAGGAAGCCCCATTTGGTGTGGGCAGAGGAACCCGAACCACTTCTAGGCGGCCAGCCTTAAATTCCCATTCCAACTGGGCCAAGTCTGCATAGTAGTGCCCAAGGTAGAAGACCTGGCGGACCACCCAGTGGGCAGGGTCCAGGGCTCTGTGGTCCAGCAGTAGCTCCAGCCCCACAGGGTGAAGGAATATTCCAAGGCCTGAGATGTTATGGTAGAGGGCTATCCAGGTCGTCCGGTCCCCTGATTGGAAGCTGCTAGCAGAGGAATGCAGAGGTGCCAAGGTAGAGCCATGGTAGTTCAAGACAGAAGCCAGAAAGGTGGGTGCCTTTGGGAGCTCCACTTCTTTCAAATACCTCCAAATCTGAACACGCTCCACTCTCAGCTTGGGGCGCCGGTAATAGGGCACAGGCCCACCATGACGCTCCACGGTCACATCCCGCATGTAGGATGGGTGAGGCAGGGGCCCCACCACCAGCTCAGTCACGTTGGGCTGGGGTTGTGCACCAAAAAAGATGATGGCCAGCGCCTCTCGGGCAGGCGGCGGGCGCCCTCCATCCAGGTGGGCCAGGGCTGCAGCCTTGGCAGGCAGCTGCAGCTCCACCGAGAAGACACAGTTGTCTGAGGGACGAGCCTGGGCTGCGTCCACCAGCCCTGGTCCCAGGTGCTTGGTCAGAAAGCTCATCACAGCTGTTAGCTCCTCGGGACTCAGGTCTGCAAAGAGCTGACCCTGGCCAGGATTTGTCCACGGCTGGGCACTAGGAGGAATGGAGGGGCACTGGGGAGGTTGGCTCAGTCCACCCCCGTCTCCGCTCCTGCCAGCTAACAAAACACAAACCAAGGCAAAGATGGTGATGACAGCCAGAGCAAGGAGCACCAGGGTAGTCTTCTGGGTCATCGTTCCTTGCAGATGGACAGCTTTCCATCAGACGCGGACTCCTCTCGGCTGAATCCAGATGCTAGCAGCTTCTTTGCATTCTGATGTTTTGGCTGAGGGCGGGAGCAGGGAGGCTGGAGCCAGAGTTGGAGGCGGCTCTGAGCTGGCTGCAGTGATATTCACAGACCTTGCATGGCTTTGTCCTCCGGCTTCCCCATTAGAATGTGCTCTCTGGGTCAGGGTTTGGGTTGAGAGAAGGGGGAGGAACCCAGTCTGTGCATGGGAACCCACTACCAGCAAGGAGCGGGGTCTGCCCCATAGCCCTGTGCCCCCCAGGACAAGTTCTTCCCCGGCTCCCACCTTTCGAGGGCCAGACGCTTGCTTCCTTTGCTTTCACTGGGAAGGATCATCTGCCAAAGAAACCCCCCACCTTCAGTCTCTTTCCCAAGCAACATTCCTTGGCCAGGTCTAACCTCCTTTCCTGTGTGTATCTTTCTGTTGCTAAACTTCCTTGGCTAAAGTTCTTAATGTTCTCCCGGGAACTCCACATGCTTTCAAAAGCCAAAGAGTAAACTCAAGTAAAAGTTTTGCAAACCATTTTATTATCAGTTACACACAACCGTTCTTTTGAGATACACACGTGTAAGATAAGGCCTGGTGTAACGTGAACCCCAGTGAGTTTTGAAACGGTAGGATTTGTGGTATTTTGTTTGAGTATTTCAAAAACACTTTTAAACAAATTATCATTTAAACAGCTAGCAGAAGCCAGTAGTGGTGCATGTCTTTAATCCCAGCAGTCCAGAGGCAGAGGCAGACAGATCTCTGCAAGTTGAAGTCAGCCTGGTCTACATGGCAAGTTCCAGGACAGCCGGGGCTACATAGAAAGACCCTGTCTCAAATAGAAAACAACAACAAAACAAAACAAAACACAGGCAGGTGAAGGAAGGCATAACGTCACTCTGTTGTAATAGGAGCGGCAGGCTGTGTCCTGCCACCCGGCTAGCTTTACCCGAAATAATTACACGGAAACTGTATTCTTTTAGACATTGCCTGGCCCATTAGTTCCAGCCTCTTATTGGCTAGCTCTTACATATTAATCTAACCCATTTCTAATATCCCTGTAACACCATGAGGTGTCTTACCAGGGAAGATCTTAACCTGCGTCTGTCTGGAGTGGGAGAATCATGGCGACTCACTGACTCAGCTTCTTTCTCCCAGCATTCTGTTCTGTTTTCTCCATCCACTTAAGGGTTGGCCTACCAAATGGGCCTAGGCAGTTTCTTTATTAATTAACCAATGAAAGCAACAGATTAGAAAGAAATCACTCCCACATCAGGCAGGAGGCAAGAATCAACCCAGAAGAGGAGGCCCAGGGATTTAGTGTGGCCAGAGGCTGTTTTCTAAGGAGCAGAGGGTAGAGACCTGGGGTGGGGGTGGGGCAGGTAATAAAAACACAGGAGACAGAATATAGGTGCTTGCGGCTCACTCCCCGGCCCCCTGGGATCTTACCACATCCTCAGGCCTATAAGCCTTCATAGGAAAAGGAGGGCAAGTTGGGGACACAGGCCGCCAGCTGTGGGGTGCAGGCCACAGGGTTGACACTGCACAGCCCCGCATCCTCGTCCCTCTCAAAGTAGATGTTGCCAGGGGAGAAGATAGAGGGATCCTCATCGAAGAAATTGTAGGGTTGGAGCAAGAAGCCCACACTGTTCCCCACAGTCACTGTGTTGGGGATGTCCTCAGCATGGGGGATGTGCAGGAAACTGGCTGTCACCCAAGCCACCAGATCCTGCAAGGAGGAAAAGCAGAGGCCTTTGGAGGCAAGGAATGTCCTCCCAGCTGCAGTTTCCCAGCCTCTAGCCTCAGCCTAGCTTCTGCCTCTGCCAACCACATTCCTACAAAGAACACTTCATGACCTGTGTAAGGAGCTGGGTGGGGTCCCAGTGTGGTGACTAATTGCCCCCCTAGTAGGGATGACCTGCACTAGGTGGAGGCTGGCCAGCCAAGTTGCCAGGAAAAGTGAAGGCCTTCTCCTCTACCTCTGAAGCTACCAACCTCTCCTAAGAGGGTTTCATTGTTGATGAAGTCAGCAAAGGCCATGGTCGGGGTCCGCAGGTCATTCTGGTAATAGATGCTGCTGCTCTGGTACTCCTCCTCCTTCCTCTGGGTCACCACAAGCTGGTATCTGACCAGGAATTGTACGTAGGTGATGTTGGAAAAATCGGAGCTTTACAGTCCTACAAGTCCCTTGGATCGGATGCTGAGACATTTCCCATCCCATATCGACTTGGATCTGAAGGCAGGTCCAGGGTACGGCTGGGGGACAAGTCCTTCCCTCACACCCATTCCCAGGGCCCTCCTCACCTTCCCCAGCTAAGAGCCCTTTCAATGCCACTCTCCAGAGGTACATGGATACCACGAGGGCTGTGGATCTGGATTCGGTACCCACGCTGGTGGCCCCAGGCATTGGTCTGGTTGGTAGCCAGGTAAAGGTATCGAGGAAGGGAGCTCCCCAGGGGAAATGCAGCCTGGTCCTCCCTGCTCAGGACCTGCCTGGTCAGCTGTAGGCGCTGTAGCTGATGCTCCGGGCTCCAGGGGGCTGCTACAGGCTCAAACACCGAATCTTCAGCTACCACCCAGTTTTTCAAGCCTGTCAGGATGAGGAAAGGGAGAATTCTACACTGGGGTGAGGTTGCTCAGACAGAATCCTTGGTCTCCTCTTGATGCCTATATTACTATCTGACCACAGGCATCAGAGAACGCTATGCTCGGAGTCATAAGCTTGGGCAAGGGCTAACCCACCATTTCAATCGGATAATTGTTGGTCACATGTGGCTACATATACTGAAAGTCCAGTTCGTCAGTCACACTAGCTGCTTAAGCATCGCTAAGCGGGGTGACACATACCCGAAATCCAGTACCTGGAAGGCAGAGGCAGGGGACGGCTGCCAGGTCAAGTCTGGACTGATCTACAAAGAGTTCCAATATAATCAGGGTTACACAGTGTGACCCTGTCTCAAAACTGAAAGGGAGAGAAAGAAAAGGAAGGAAGGAAGGAAGGAAGGAAGGAAGGAAAAAGGGGGGTATGTCCAAAGCCAGTCTACTAAATAGCGAGACCCAGTCTTAAACCACGTGGCAGTCACATATGGCTGGAGACTCTTAGGGTAGCCACAACACAGGAGACTCTCTTGGTATGGGCCTACCCAGTAGACCCTACAACAGTTTGCTCCTCACTCTCACCTTCTGAATCTCAATGGCTAACACAATACTGTTTTATGGCTATGCTCAACACATGGAAAAACACACACGCTGACTGAAACATTCCTGTGACTATGAAAGAGACTTGAAGTGACACGGAAAAGCCAGTCCTCTTCCACAGTCCCTGCAGATTCCTCCCAGCTCCAGGACTCCACTCTCCTAACACAAGGGGACACTACTGCCAGTCTTTCGAAAGTGAGCTTTGGAGCGTCTTCGATCCTACTGCATGCACCAAACCCTGCATCACCCAGCACAGCACTTTTTCCTTGAGGCTCAGGACATTTGGTTCCCTTAAATGTGACCATGATACACACCGTAAAAGCCAAAGATGTTGAGTATTTTCCAATTGTCAGATTGTAAGTATTTCAGATTATAATATATGGCCATCATGTTAGTCTCGGTTCTCTTACCCCCTACCACCTCCTCACACCCAAAAACCACAAACGCAAGCATAGTGTGCAAGGTACACATGCCAGGGCCTCACACTCGAGAATGTTTCACAAGATATATGTTTGGTCAGACATTACACTTGGGCAGCCACTTCCTTCCTGTTCCATCTCCCCTGCCTTCCTTAGTTTCCCCAAGTGTAAAATGAAGGTCTTGGTGGAGTTGACTTCTTTCTGGGTCCATGTGCTTTGATGAGTTTGTTTCTCTCCTCCACAGAGTCTGCCAGGAGCAGCAAGCGCCAGACTGGCAGCCAGCCTATCCCAGACTTGCCACAACAGAGGACTGTTAATAGTGATGACAAGAGAGGGTGGCCTTCCCACACTGTTAAGTGGCACTAACTGCAGAGCTATCCCCAACCCTGACACCTTTCCTCCCCATGTACAGACCACAGCATCCCTAGCCCTACTGCAAACTCTTCAACCAGACTTTTGGTTACCTCTGCTCAGGTCCTTGTCCCATCCACCCACCCTGAGCTCAAGAGGCCAAGTGCTGCCTCTAGTCCCATCCAGTTCTCACTGGGTCAATCCCTCTGGTTAAGGCAGCAGGGCGCAGCCATTACATTTAAGTTAGTTTCACAACTGCAGATCTGGGGGAGGGAACCAGAAGGTGGGAGCTGGGCAGATGAACCCTTTCATCCTTGACCAGATGCCCAAGTGTGACTACAGCGGCACTCAGACAATCCTCTTCCTCTGGAGGTTAGACGGTCCTCACCACCTTTCAGACTGCAGCCCGGTCTGGAAGCTTCCAGCCCTATGCGCTACTCCCAACGCTCAAGCCTCAGCCCCAGAACTCACCTGCCACGTCCAGGTCCAGCTTGAAGTGGAAAGCGTGTGTGTGCACTGCTCCCAGCACTCGCTCTCCCACGCGGTTCCCGAAAAGGAGGCTCTCAGCCCCTCCATTCAGGAAGACTGTGTTGATATAGCCTGTGGCATGGACACGCCCTTCGAGCGCCCCATTTGGGTACAGTATAAAGTCCCAAATGTAATCGTAGTTGCCCACTGATGACACCGACCTGACCACAAGGCCTGAGCTGGCCAAACCACCGTAGAAATGACCCCCTATATAGTTGTGGTGCCTTCGAAGGGGTAATCCTTGGGCCTCCTCAAATACACACACAGCCCCTGGGAGCAGCCGGACTGCCCCTGTGCCTACTAATACATGGATGTCAATCATTGTGGCCTGGTAAGGGCAGTCCACTCCCCGAACCAAGGCTCGGCTGTTTTGGCCAAGCCCAAAGCTGCTGTCCAAGTAACGGAGCATCATTGTCTTGGGGGAATCAGCACCGTAAACAGTCAGGCACTCCTGGACACTGACTTCATAAGCCACACGCTCACCCTTAAACCGCACATCAAAAAGTCTTAAGCCAGTGAACGCACCATGACCAAATGTAAACATCCAGAGGGGGGACACCACTAAGTTTCCCTGCACATTGTACTGGGGACTCTGGGGTGAGAACTGAAGAGGGGGAAGAGGGGGGTCTGGAGTAACTCGAGACCTCAGGGAGGAAGCCCCATTTGGTGTGGGCAGAGGAACCCGAACCACTTCTAGGCGGCCAGCCTTAAATTCCCATTCCAACTGGGCCAAGTCTGCATAGTAGTGCCCAAGGTAGAAGACCTGGCGGACCACCCAGTGGGCAGGGTCCAGGGCTCTGTGGTCCAGCAGTAGCTCCAGCCCCACAGGGTGAAGGAATATTCCAAGGCCTGAGATGTTATGGTAGAGGGCTATCCAGGTAGTCCGGTCCCCTGATTGGAAGCTGCTAGCAGAGGAATGCAGAGGTGCCAAGGTAGAGCCATTGTAGTTCAAGACAGAAGCCAGAAAGGTGGGTGCCTTTGGGAGCTCCACTTCTTTCAAATACCTCCAAATCTGAACGAACTCCACTCTCAGCTTGGGGCGCCGGTAATAGGGCACAGGCCCACCATGACGCTCCACGGTCACATCTCGCATGTAGGATGGGTGAGGCAGGGGCCCCACCACCAGCTCAGTCACGTTGGGCTGGGGTTGTGCACCAAAGAAGATGATGGCCAGCGCCTCTCGGGCAGGCGGCGGGCCCCCTCCATCCAGGTGGGCCAGGGCTGCAGCCTTGGCAGGCAGCTGCAGCTCCACCGAGAAGACACAGTTGTCTGAGGGCCGAGCCTGGGCTGCGTCCACCAGCCCTGGTCCCAGGTGCTTGGTCAGAAAGCTCATCACAGCTGTTAGCTCCTCGGGGCTCAGGTCTGCAAAGAGCTGACCCTGGCCATGGTGTGTCCAGGGATGAATTCTGGGAGGAATGGAGGGGCATCGAGGAGACTGGCTGGAACTGCCTTGCCTGGTCAGCAAGACATAGGTCAGAGCAAAGACGGTAAGGAGAGCGAGCACCAGACACACCAGCAGCACCTTGAGAGCCATGGTTGATGCTGAGATGCAGTCACTCCAAAAGCAGCTCTTTTCTGCTCCTGACATTCCGGCAGGACTTATGAATGGACAAAACTCCACCCCGTGGGCTGGACAGGAAATTTCTGATCATGTTTTATGTTAATTTTGTTCCAATTTTCTGACCTGAGGTTTGGCTCAAAATGTTCCTTCCCTAAACTCCAACTGCTAATAGTCTCTAACCTTCCATCAGTAGAACAGATGAGAAGGCATTGGGATAATGATATGCAACTACCTTGTAACCTTAAACAGTTCTGAAAAGGCAATTTTGATGCATAATCCTTTCCCTGTGTCACACACAAGAACTAATAAAACATCATTACTAAAATCATGCCACAAGCAATAGTTCCTGGATCTACTGCCCAGCTCAGAAGTAAGTTCTTAGCTCTACCCGGGACCTAATGCAGTATCTGAATTGGGAGTCTCAGGCCTTATTATCTATCCAGTTAGTGAGAAAATACTGGTTGAGGTTCTGGGCTTTCTGTTCATACTGGTACAATGAACCCGACTAGCTGTGGTAGCCTTAAAGCTACTCATCTTGAGTTTCTTGCCTATAAATGCACAGTGGGACAGGGTCACTTATGTCCACAGTCTCAACACTCAGGATTGTTAGTTCAATGCCAGGTGAATTACATAGTGAGTTACTGGCCAACCTCAGTGACAACCTGCCTTTAAAAATGACAAATTGGGCAGTGGTGGAACACACCTTTTATCCCAGCACTTGGGAGGCAGAGGCAGGCGGATCTCTGTGAGTTCGAGGCCAGCCTGGTCTACAAGAGCTAGTTCCAGGACAGGCTCCAAAGCTACAGAGAAACCCTGTCTCAAAAAACAAAAACAAACAAAAAAAGAGATTAAAAAAAAAAAATACAGCCAGGCATGGTGGCACACACTTTTAACCCCAGCACTCAGCAAGCAGAGGAAGGTGGATGTCTGTGAGTTTGAGGTCAGCCTGTCCTTGAGTTCCAGGACCGCTAGGACTGTTACAGACACAACCAAAAATAAAAATATATAAAGAATGCAACCATACACACAAGTGCTTAATAATGCCACAAAGCAGGCAGAAACTACTTGTTAGCTAGCGACACTAAACTCTGGGACAGAACAGATAGATGTCCCTTCCTTGATGGGGACCTTAAACCTCTACAAAGTTGTCTTACTAGAAAAGGGGAGGGCATTTTACTTCTGAGGGACATGAACCTCCTGCAAACACTTTGAGTCATTTAACCAGCCCCAAGGGTCCCCTCAAAGAAGTTCAAGTATTATGTAGAAAGGAAAGTTATTATGACAGAAAAGGAAGGCTGGATAGGGCGTGCCTGAGTGGTTGTTCCCACACAGAACCACAGCAACCTCTGCTGGTAGCTCATGGGTATCACAGGGAAGGAATCAGGATCTGGTGTATGGACAGAGAGGCAGTTTAAATTCCTGGAAAGGCTTTCACATAATTTATCTTCAAAATAAAGCAGGAACCACCTCCCTCTCTGGTCAAAAGCTTCACTCCTTTTTCTTCTTGGTTTTTCGAGACAGGGTTTCTCTGTAGTTTTGGAGCCTGTCTTGGAACTAGCTCCTGTAGACCAGGCTGGACTTGAACTCAGGTCCACCAGCCTCTGCCTCTGTGCAGGGATTAAAGGCTGCGCCACCACCGCCCAGCGTGGAAGCTTCACTCTTGCCACCATGATGCAAGAGTTCAATAGCGACCCCAGCACTCGGGAGGCAGAGGCAGGCGGATCTCGGTGAGTTCGAGACCAGCCTGGTCTACAAGAGCTAGTTCCAGGACAACCTCTAAAGCTACAGAGAAACCCTGTCTCGAAAAACCAAAAAAAAAAAAAGAGTTCAATAGCAAGTGTACACACAGCAGGCTGGCCAGGGCATCTGTGAAGGTGGGTGTCTGAACGCTCACACTATGTCCCTCAGTCACCAGAATATGGCACAGGGTCTGCAGCTTTAGAAAGAGGTCAAAGTACCTGTATTTTTAATAATTTCTTGACATGGTAAAAGAATTTTACATTACAATCCAAGGTTGGTAGGGTGAGGAGGGGCAGTGGAACAGTCAAACAAAAAGGGAAGCTGAGAAACACATGGTGGGAGGGGAGGAGTTTAGCTGGAAGGGACCTGAGGGGTGGGTAGGAGTACTGCCCAACTGAAATGCAATTGGTTTGTTACTGAGCACTATTCATGGGAAGAGAGCATCCTGACTCCTTTTCTGTAGAATACTGGGAGTGAAATGATGCATCCCAGGTGGAATATGATTGGAGTTGGAAGACGGAGAGGAGTAAAAGCCAAATAGACACTGAGAGTCACTGGCAGATTAACTGCAGATACCAACTCTCACTTAAAAAGCTGGGGGCTAATAGGGTTAACACAAAAGCTGTAACAAGTGAGATCTCTGGAAGATTTGAAAGAGGCAACTCTTCTATGGGTTTGACCTTCGCAGCATATTTATACACACACACGAACACACACACACATAGGCACGTGTGTATGTGCACAGATACATATACACATGAATTACTGCTTTCCCTGGAAGCACAACACTATAAATATGAGAAATATTTCCCAAAGGGAAAGCACAGCGAGGAGTAGCAGCCTCTAGACCTCATGGCTGCCCACACCCTATCCAATGCACAAGCTGGCCTGGGAGAAGGGCAAGTGAGGGCCAGAGGGGCCAGCTTTTGCATAACACCAAAGAACCTGAGTCACAGAGGAAAGGCCTTCATGAGCCCTCTGCTCCTCGGCTCTCCTTCAACTTACCCTGGGCACCAACGGCTACATTATCAGAAGAGAGGGTGGGCCTGGGACTTGCCTGGGTGGATGACTAAGACAACTGTCACCTGCTGAGGTGTTGCGTGTGTGACAGGGGCTGAAGGGGTAGTGGTGCAGAAAGGAAGGCTACGTTCTATAATGGAGCAGGAAGCATGTATACATGTCCCTATGCGTGTGTACAAGTGTACACAGTATCTGTGAAAACCCCAGTTATAAAAACATCCAGAGGAGCTCTAGGGATGCAGCTGAAGGCCTAAGGTATCCCTTGTCACAGTCAGGTTCAAGGAGGGGTAGACAAAGGTGGAGAGCCCCAGGGCATCGCCAGGGCAGCTGCAGCGGGGAGGACCCAAAGTCCCACAGAAGCAAGAGACACTGGCCTGTGACAGGAAGATGTCCCTTCCACCTCTACTCCCCCAGTTCCTAAAAGACACCTAACATTTTCCCTACAGTTCCTCCAGCTTTTAACACAAAACTTAAAACAAGGGGAGGAAGGGAAGGGAAGAAAAAACAAAAACCCCACAATTCTTGTGCCATTATCTCGCACAAATCTGGAGTTCTCCAGAAATTAGGACAGGCTGGGTGTGGGGTTTGGGGAAGGAGATAGAAGAGTTCCTGAGGCCTGAAAAAAGAGGTAAACACATCACAGAACTAGATGAGAGTTTCATTAGACTCTAACTAAAAACAGAGAGGTGTGGTTACTATTTCCAGCCAGTTTCCCCATCACGATAGTCATGTAACAAACCAAGGCAATATCGGTCTTGAGCCAGACTCACAGAGTCCCCTGGCCCTGGCCCTGGCCTCAGTACAGTGTCTCTGCATTGCTGCTCCGGGGCCGTTTGATTTTCTCAATATTCTTCAGGATCATGTCATGTAGAGTGACCTGGGAAAGGAAAGGTCAGGGAATCATTCATTTCTTCAATCTCTACCTCAATCAAGCAATAACACGTGTTACCTTAATTCTATCACTTGACCCCCTATATTCATTTCTTGAGCAGGCTACCAGTATTTACCACACTAACAAGTATAAGAAGTCCTTTAGGGTTGGAGAGATGGTTAAGAGGTTAAGAGCACTGACTGCACTTCCAGAGGTCCTGAGTTCAATTCCCAGCAACCACATGGTGGCTCACAACCAACTGTAATAAGATCTGCAGGCAGAACACTGTATACATAATAAATAAATCTTAAAAAAAAAAAGTCCAGCCAGGCGGTGGTGGTGCACGCCTTTAATCCCAGCACTTGGGAGGCAGAGGTAGGCGGATCTCTGTGAGTTCGAGACCAGCCCGGTCTACAAGAGCTAGTTCCAGGACAGGCTCCAAAACCACAGAGAAACCCTGTCTCAAAAAACCAAAAAAAAAAAAAAAAAAAAGTCCTTTAACGTGCAGCCTCATTTACTGCTAAACCCATTTTTTGTAGTCGGTAATCTTAACTCCCAAGTCTGAGCTTGAACATGATCAAGAACACACTTTCCGGGCTGCAGGGATTGGCTCAGAAGCCAAGAGCAGGCATTGCTCTTGCAGAGGACCGGAACTCAGTACCTAGCACCCATGTCAGGCAACTCACAACTGCCATTATCTCCAATTCCAGGGAGTCTTACACCTTCTTCTAGTAACCCCAGCTACCTGCACTCTCACACATGCACATACTGACACACAGAGATGATAATGATAATGATAATAATAATAATAATAATAATAATAATAATAATAATAAACCGGTTGGTTATGGTGGCACACATCTTTTAACAAAGCATTTGGGAGACAGAATCAGTGAGTCTTGACACCAACACAGTGAGCTTCAGGCCAGCCTGGGCTACAAAGTGAGACCCTGTCTAAAAACCAAACAACAAAAGAAAACAAATGACTCACTACATGAAAGCTTTGGTTACAAAGCTATCTTTCTGATTCCAAGACCCATGCTGTATATGTATAACACCTCCACCTAGCCAGAACAGAAACAGCCAACTAGACTTCCTCAGCAAGTTCATGTTCTCCATACCCAGCTGATGAACAGTTATTCACATACCCTAGCTGGCCTCCTGCTTAGTCTCCTGAGCAGTTGGGATTATAGGCAGATACCATCCTGGCCATTCAGTTTCCCAGAAATTACCAGAGAAATAAGCGAAGCCAGGACAGCTATGGGCAGGGACTGACTTTACTCACATACTGATTCCTTAGTTCTGAAATGATGAGACGGAGGCTGATGTATTCTTTCTCGTCAATCTCCGTGACAGTGCGGCGATAGTCCTCCTGCATGGGAAGGAGGGGAAGCTAGTCATCCAAGGCACAAATGCCCAGAGACAGCTCATTCCTAGGACCCTACCTATCCTGCCACCCCTACCTCAGACCCCAAAACCTCTACTTACCACATGGGGATATTTAGCTATTTTAGAAACCAATTTGGCTCTTGTAATATAGTATCTGGAAGGAGGAAAAAAAAAAAAGAGAGAGGCAACTGAAGGGGACACTGAACATGTCTCCCACTTCAACAGTTCAACTCCTAGGTACAGCCCAAGCAGTCCTACCTAGAAATCTGGTCCAGATAAGATGCAGCTTCACTCTCGACAGTTCTTAGTTCT